ATTATTTTGCAAAAGCCTCGACCTCTTTCTGTAAAATGTAGATGAATGTCTAAATGCCTTTTTAGTGTTTTTTTAGGCATAATAAAAAAAAATTAAGTTTGTTTACAAAAACTTTTTATTAGGTTATGTCCATGATGTTCATTAGGCCGCAAATGCTACTTAATGGGTTGTATTTACGGACGTAAATAGAGATACGTAAATTAGGTTATAAATATGAACATAAAATACAACAAAATATAATTGGACGTTACTTTAGGGATTATCAGTGAGACGTATCCTATTCGGACAACGGGTAGACGTCGGGCTAGTTCAAGTATATGTACATCGTGCAGGCCGACGTGGGAACGACGTTGGGAAATTAATAAAAATGGTACGTTGTTAGTTTGTACGTCGACAGATCGTTGGATTTACCGACTCGGATCCAACGACGTCGCTTTTAATAGGAAAGCGACGTCACCGGTCGTATCACCAGCACCCGACCAAAATTTGCACAAAGTCTGACGTCGCTTCAGGCCACATTTAGTTCGAAGTCAGATAGATGCTACTTGGGCCGGCTCTGTCGTTTCACACATGGATCGCATCAATCCGTCCAGACCGTCCGTCCGGTACAGCTTACTATAAATTTTCTTTTTCTTCTCCTTATTTGAGATCTAATCGATCTGTTAGTTTTAAGGTTGGGCTCTGTAGAAGTTCTTGAGAGATGGACTGCAACTGTCTTTCCATCTTTTGGAGGTCTTCCCAGCTGACTCTTACCCATAGACTTCTTCAAGAGATATGCGTAGTAGCCTGTTTTTCTTCCATGCGTTTTACGTGTGCGAACCATTGTTTTTTTTTTGCCTACCCCATCTCACTACGTCCTGTATTCCACATTGTTGTCTGATATTTGTGCGTTTCTAATTCTGTCTTCTCTAAGTCTTCCCATTATGGTTCTTAGGGTCTTCATTTCAGCGACTTTTTGACATGCTTTTTTGGTTTTATTTGTTTCCTCTCAGGTTTCTATGCCATATGTCATTATTGGTCTGATGCAGATCTTATAAATTTTAATTTTGCTGACATGGCCGTTGCTCTATTTATTTGGCATTCTCAAATCTTTCTCTAGATCATGGTGGTACGACATATCTATTCCTAGGTATCTAAACTGTGATACTTGCTCAATAATTTTGTTTTCTATTACCAGTTTGCATCTTACCGGATCTTTAGAGAAAGTTAAGCATTTAGTTTTTTCTCTAGATATAATCATATTTAATTCTCGGCTTCCTTGATAGAATTTATGAAGCCATCTCTGCATATCGTCCTCTGTCTCCACGATAAGGGCTGCATCATTAACACACCATGCTAACTTTGTTGTGTCCCATTCGATAACCGATATTCATCGGTTGTGTTAATAAATATAAGTTAAAACGTTATCTGTAAATGGGGCTTTATATACACAATTTGTAGTTATAACTTTTTTAATTAACAATTTAGTCAAAATTACCAATCACGCAATAAAACTTAAATGCATAATTACGGACCCGAAAACAAAATGTAAAATGCAATAGTACTTATAAATATACACTTAAAAATTTTATGGTTAAACGTGATTACTAATAAATATCAATTTGTTTAATTATCCCATAAAAGCTTTCATTTGCACATATATTAATTTTGTTTTTTGTCAATTCTATGACTTTTATTCATATTATAACATGATTGTTGCCAGTCAAACTATAAATTGTCCAAGAAACACATATAAGGCTGACATATATTAACGATAGTGATCAACATAAAATTAAATTGTTTTTCCATCAATAATCGTTTGTCGAAATCATATATTTCACGCTAGACAAATTATATCTATCCATATCATGGTACAAAGAAAATAAGGTATGATCGATAGCGGCTCCAATTTCGTTAAGTTTGCGCATACCACCTGTGACGTCATACGCCATACAAAAAAATCTTCATATTGTCCAATTGCCACTAATAAAAAAAGACCTAAAATAGGGAAGAACTAAGACATAACCCCAAAAGTTATGTCAAATCATCGAACTTGACATTTGAAAAATTATTTTCACATTTATTATGTCATCTGTTTGACAATTTGAAATTGGCGCGCGGAGCTTGCCGACCAATGGTGCCGTTTATCACCTGTGACGTAGTGACCAACCTGCGCAATATCATACCTTGTATTCTTTGTATCATGTATCCATATTATACCAAATCCGCAAATCGCATCGTGGGCCTAGCATATTGGATATTGGTCTAGGTGTATGGTTCGGTTGACGATATCTTTATTGCGTCAACCTTAAAAACATGCAAAACTTTTGATTTTTGTTAGTTCGACGAGTTCACAATCTTTACAAAAATCGATAAAGTTTTTTGAGTTTTTTTTGAGACTAATGGGCTCTTTCACCAAAAATAAAATACCCAATTCAAGGACAAAATCTGAAATAGAAGAATATTTTCAGTATATTTATCCAAAAAATAGTTCCATGACATTGAATAATTTTTTATAGGCCCTCAAAATTGCTTTAATTTGGAAGAATTTTAAATTGCCAATTGATGACGTATGAAAAATACGCCCAGTCACATTGCAAAACCGTGCTCGTGCGCCAGCCAACAACTGACAACATTGCGATTTGATTTGACGTGCATGTTGAATAATAAATTTGAGGTTAAATTTTTTGTTTATTCCGTTTGTGAAAGCATGTAATCAAATTTTAAGTTTTAAATTGTTATTTTTGATAATTTGTTCCATCATGGTCGTACCAGAACCTGATTCGAAAAGGCGTCATCTGATAACTTTACGCAGGTCTGCATGGTGGCCCGGCGGTGTTGCTGCTTTTCAACACGTCAGGTGTGACGTATTAAAAATAAAGTGCGGATTTTTTATTCTGGGATTTTTGTTTTTATTTATTTTCTTAAGAACGACTTCAAATTTTTTGAACGACTTCAAGTGAGATAGTAGAAAATTCTAGAATTAATTGCTTTATTCAATTATGAATTCCAAAATATAGTGAAAGAGCCCATTGAGTTTCTTCCTAGTACGCATAATTGTAGGTGTCGTCACTGGAAACTGCCCTACGGGGATAAACCTCGTGAGATGGAAGATTTCCAACGACGACTAGTGCAGAGAATGCGGAGAAAGAAACCGTAGAAACCCTGTTATACCGGCACTGGAACACCGTCGCTTTAAAACTTTAGGGCACGGTTTTTGGAGGGACTAGAGCAGGCAGCAGAATCCAACATCATCGACATCGGGAACTGTGCAAAGAGCTGGAACTGCTTTAACGCAAAGAAAGAATGAGAGAAAGTTTGGTACAATAATAACACGGGTATAGACAAGGCCTCCGAGTGAGGGATCAAACAGGACCTCAAACCCCAAAAATCTGACCTAATTGAGTTTCTAGACTAATTCACCATTTCTGTGGAGTCATCTTAAAGGTTGTCTAAAAGGTTCTCACTATACATTCGAATTCAGTTCCGTATAATTTCCGTAAAATTCCGTATTCCGCATAATTTGATTATATTCACACTATTAAACTAAAAATTCCATGGGAACGGAAGGGATAGCGTATATTGTCCTATTCTTCTTCTTCTTGTAATAGGACAAGGTCCTGTCAATTATTGTCCTCTTGTGATGTTGATGTCCAGCTGTCATACCAAAGCTTTGGGGGCCTACCAACTGGGCGTCTTGTCTCTGGCTTTTGTCTTTCGGCCCACTTGGCAATTCGATCTGGACCCATCCTATCTACGTGATCTCTCCAACAACGCCTTGCTCTTACCCATCTGACAACGTCCTGTCCCCATCTGACAACGTCCTAAGTATCTTAGCGTATCTATGTTGCGTATTCTGTCGAGCAGTGTAGTCCCTTTTATTGTACGTAATGTGTTCATTTCTGTTGTTCTCATTCTCTTTTTTGTTTCTGATGTTTCTGCTCTTGTTTCAGCAATGTAAGTCAGTATGGGTCTTATACAGGTCTTACTCTCTGCACTCATGTATTTATTTTTCTCTATTACATCACGTAAATACCCTGATATTCTTGAGGCTTTTTTAATCTGATTGTCCACTTCAATCGTTATAGTTCTGCTGCTCGAAACTCATTACCTGGTTTATAATGCACTCATTTACTACTAGTTTGCACCGCGTATTGGATCTTTGGATATTACCACAGATTGTGTTTTTTTTAAGACTCTGTGCCGCTAAGTTGGGCGGAAACCTTACTACACTTCAGAGATTTCTACCTTAGCAGTTAATTTCTTTGCTAGTATTTTTGTTAACACTTTTAGTAAACTACTAAACTACTACTAAGTAACATTATACCTCTATAGTATATAGGTATGGTTATGCTGGTTTTCCTTTCTTCAGGTATTAATCCAGTTCGTATATTAATCCAATTTCAGATCGTTCTATTTTTCCGTATAGTTGTATTAGTTCTTTTTCGATTTCTGGACCTCCGTTCTTAAGCAATTCGTTTGGAATATTATTTATACCTGGATATTTTCTGTTCTTCAATTTCTTTATGGCTGTCTGTAATTCTTCTAGTGTAATGTTTTCCTCTTGATCGTATGGTGGGTAAAGTGAGAATCAACCTACTGTAAAATATCTAAGTCTAAAATAAGAATAACCACCAATAACCCATTTATTAAAGGGTATAAAAAATGTAAAATTGTACACGTGCGTCTTTAAAACCATTTCATACAACTTTAAAAAACAATAATTAATTATACCCAAAATAGAATAAAATAAAAAATCGAAAACAATGGTCATCCTTCGATTTTCGGCGGGAATTCCGCTGACCTGACGCCTGGCCAAGCAAAAACCCAAATCAAATTTTGATATTCCATGCCTTTTAAAAAACCGCTAAAAAAACGTAAACACAACAACACGCTAATAAATTCGATGATCTATCGACCGATGCTTAATTATATAATAATAAACGAAAATCGTGACCGGCCGTCGCGATTCATCGTAAATCCTATTGCGTTTTCCGTGCCAATGGCGGGTATAAAAAGCGATTTCGGAGCCGGATCTGCGGTTTAGCCGAGCACGATGGCCCGTTATTGCGAGTCGACGTCGGTCGCGCTGATTTTGGGGTGCGCGCTTGTTCTGATTGGGGCGCAAACCACGCAGAAGGGGGGTGATGATCAGGTTTATTTGATCAGCGATCTTTCCGGGGAGAAAGTGGTCGGAAAAGGGGGTGAAAATGAAGTTTCGGGACACGGTTTGGTGTTGGGGAAGCCGATTCCTTTGAGCGAGGCTGGGGATGGCGTGTACTTTAGGCCGGCTAATGGTGCCAAGGTAGAAGGAGAGGTATGTATAGATTCTAAGAAAGCAGAAAAGTATTGAACAAATATCGACTCTGGATCGAAACTGCTCTTAAAATACAGGGCACGGCATCAGGCATCTGCAGCTCCTAGAATAAGAAAGTTAGGAATTTTGTTCAAGTGCACACCTAAAGTATGTAATATGATGTATTTCAAGAAAATATTTTAACTTCTACAGGGTGACTTAAAAAAGAGTAAGTCGATTGGTATGATTTTTTTTAAATGGAACACCCTGTATATTATTGCCTGTCTGGCTTTCTTTTTGATCACTTTACATAATCCTAAAATTTTGTTAAATATGTTTTGATAGTGTCAAAGATATTAATAAATAAATAAATAAATATTTTTTTTTTGGCTTTTTTGAAAAAAAAAATTACAACATACATTGATACAAATATCGTAGTCTTAAATCATACAGGGTGTTCAAAATTCTCTGCCAAACTTTTTTAAAATATAAATTAGTTGAAATCCCCATATGTAATATAATCCCACGAATATCCGCAAAACCGTTAAAAATTTTGAAATATGTACTTTAAATACAAAAAGTTTTTTTTTAATTCTCCATCTAAAAAAAGAATATACAGGGTGTTCCATTTAAAAAAACAAGAAGAGCTATCTTATATTTTAGAAAGTTTGGTATAGAATTTTGAACACCCTGTAGGGTTTAAGAATACGATATTCGTAGCAAAGTAAATACAGACCCACCAACAGTAAATATCTAACACCGTTTTGATTTCAGGACATTTCTTGTGTTTTTAATATTTTTTATTTATTTATTAATATCTTTGAAATCATCAAAAAATATTTAGTAATGTCTTAGGACCAGACCATAGACTTAAAATAAAATATAGACTACACTATTTACATCTTAACGCGGTCAAACAATCTTTTTTGTAAACATGTTTACTTCTGGGTACAGTCGACCGAGCCTTCCTCATCCAGCCTATGTTGTCACGTCTTTAATATTATCAATATGTTTTTTCCTGTTATACACATATATTCAGATATTAATACTACATTTTAATAAAGTAGGTTTTAATATTCCATAGATGTATTAAATAGTCCTTATACTACTAAATTATAAGTCGGATACTATTTAAAGGATAAGTTTTTTACAATATGGCAACACCGATTAGAGGCGAGGTCGCCTATTCATTCATTTATTACCTTATAGTACGTGTCGCACGTGTGCGGTAAAGCTTTGTTGCCGCTATCTCCCCGGATGGATTAAAGCATTTTCTTAGCTTGTAGTCCTTAAGTGTTTATTTCAGGGACGTAGCAACAGGGGGTGCAAGTGGTGCGGCGCACCAGGGCCCGGGGCCCTGGAGGGCCCGGCGCCGCCCTAGCGGCATTGGCTCTTGCAACCCGATTCTAAATGTGACTTTTAGCATTATTTGAGAATATCTGCAGAAATGAAATAAAATTACATTACAATTACCTGTTCAGGTATTTCACCACATTACTATAAGACCGATCTTTTAATAATGGCTATTATTAAATCGATTGAATAGTACATCCCGAGTTTCTTCTTTCAGAACTAAAAAGCCGCGTCATCAGTGCAATCTTAATTTCGCACGCTGGCGCTGTCAAATATCGGTGTGATTCGCGGTAAATCGTAATATTGATATTTTTTGACTTTTTGAAGTGAGTTTTTAATATTATTTATTAGTGTAAGTGTAATTACATTAGGGGTTAGCCTGAAGCCTGACTGTAGTAACTTGGTAATTAATTTTTAGTCATTTTATAGAAACGGCGGAATGTTTAGATGGACGTTTAATAATGATAATACTATTAGTGGCTATTTTCAAAATACTTTAAAATTCTTTACAACTGACAATTTGTTTGTTACGGCTAAAAAATAAAAAAACACATTTTTACGAAAAGAAGAGAAAACATTAAAAAAAAGTAGTACTTGGGATAAAACTAAGTTCTTTTTACCCATTTCTTGTCTGAAAAATGGACGCAATCCGTTAAATTAAAAAGTAGTGTGTTTTTTAGTTAATCTGTTACAAAAAAATAAAAATCTATAAAATTGCCATTAGATAACTTTTAAGTTAAAAGTTATCTAATGACAAAAAAAATTATTGGTGTCATGAATAGGGTGTCCCATAAGTCATGGATCAAATTTAAATAGGAGATAGGGGAGGTTATTTCCAACAAAAAAAGTGCTATAAACATGTATCCTAAAATGCCTGGTTTTCAAGATACAGGGTTATTGTTGTTTCTTTACACAAAAACCGTTCGTCGGACAAAAAAATGTCAAGAGACCATTTTTGACAGCAACTAGTAAGAGGTTACGAAAATAATTTTTATTTTGGAAAAAAAGCAGTGGCGTACCGTTTTTTCATTGAATAAAATTGTCATTTTTCACTTTCACACCCTGTATCTTTCAACACCCTGTATCTTGAAAAGCAGGTATTTTAGGATACATGTTTATGGTTTTTTTTGTTGGAAATTACCTCCCCTATCTCCTGTTTAAATTTGATCGGTGACTTATGGGATACCCTATAAAATAACTAAATTTTAAGTTGTCTAGTTTTGCATTCAGCTGCGATATGAGTCAGTTCAAACATTTGTCGGGAGCTGAAAAGCGAAAACGGAAAGAAACTGAAAAACGTGAAAGGGAAAAACTTCCTAAATTAACTTCCTTTTTCCATCGTGTTTAGAAAAATACAGTTGAATTATCTGAATTGTCTGAACCTGAAAATAAATACGATAAGGATGACCCCGGAATACCTCTATCACCGAAGTCAATTACAATGAGTATTGCAAAAGAAGAAAACCATGAGTCAACCACAATTTCTTCGACTTCCCTATCTGTATCTGTTTCACAAACAACGGTGTCACATCTCAGTACCGAAAAGAGTAATTTCAGCAGTATTCTCAGCGATTCGAATAAAAGATTTATAGCAAAATACGGACCATGTCAACCAGAAAATATGCAATTTGTCCTAGACAATTGTGTCGTTATGATTCTCTTCATAGCTTAAGGTTTCGCTATCGAGAAATTTTACAAGTTTTGACAAAACTAACCCTAACAAGCTCGAAAACAACGGAACAAAATGAAGCACTGGGATTAAAGAAAAAACTGGAAAATTTTGAAACAGTTGTATTGATAGTGATTGAACATAAAATATTAAGTATCACAAAGCTTGTGTCCAATGCACTGCAGAGTAAAAACCAAGATATTCAAAGAGCGTCAAAACTTTTGCAAACTGCTAAGAAAGACATTGCAGAAATGAGGAACAGTTTTGAGGAAGTTATTAATGAAGCAGCTGATTTAGCTCGTGGTTGGGAAATCAATCCAAGTTTTAAAGAACACAGGATCCGCAAAGTGAAAAAACAATTCGATGAGTTATCATGTGATGAACGATTATTCAACGCCAAAGAAAACTTCCGTGTGTCGGTGTTGAATATAACGTTGGACGTTATTATATCTCAACTTGAAAATCGATTCAAAGGGTTAAATAGCGTAGTTGAAAGATTTAAAGTAATTTTTCCTTCGGTCTTGAGAGATCATTCTGATGCTGATTTGGTCCTCCTATCTGAAAACCTGATCAGCTTTTATTCCTATGATCTATCATATTCATTTTCGCAAGAAATTGCAAGTTTCAGGCGAGTTTACAAAGATCAAATAAATGCAGACATTTCAGTTAATGACTTGGCGAAGTTAGTTATTTGCGATCAAATGATCTCCAGTTCATTCACAGAAATCTGCTGTGCTTTTATCCTTTTTCTAACAATTCCTGTATCGGTAGCGTCTATCATATTCATTTTCGCAAGAAATTGTAAGTTTCAGGCGAGTTTACAAAGATCAAATAAATGCAGACATTTCAGTTAATGACTTGGCGAAGTTAGTTATTTGCGATCAAATGATCTCCAGTTCATTCACAGAAATCTGCTGTGCTTTTATCCTTTTTCTAACAATTCCTGTATTGGTAGCGACTTCCGAAAGGTCATTTTCAGTATTAAAATTAATTAAGAATTATTTAAGAAATAAAATGTCGCAGAACAGACTCTCCGGCTTGGCAATTTTATCAATAGAAAACGAGACAGCCAGAAACTTGGATCTTAATAGAATAATTTCATTGTTTGCCAATCAAAAGGCAAGAAAGGTAGATTTTTTTTCAGCATAAATAACTATAAATTAGTTAATAAGTAATAGTTTTTTAGTTTTATATTTTTGTTACTACATTTATTACTACTCCCCATACATTTTTGTGCAATAAATGTGTTATTTCATTTTTCATTGTTTTTTTTTATAATGAAGAAAAGGGCCCGCTGGTGGTCTTGCACCAGGGCCCGGGTTCGACTTGCTACGTCCCTGGTTTATTTTGTTTACTTTTTCTGTTCAAGAACTATAAAATATGGTTCGCTAGTGCCAAATTTGCAAGAAATTTGACTTAAATAATCCATTTAAGTCTTGAAACGACTTTCTACCGGTAGGCAACTTACCCATTAGGATTCAGTGGCGTTGTTGTAGAAAGGCGCTTATTTAGATAATATTTTAGTAAAATGTAAAATCTGAATTTTTTCTCTTACATAATCATTTATATAAAGGCTTTTGTAGCAAAATCATAATTATTATAACCCTGTTAATAATTAATAATGTATTATTGTATGTATTATAATTAATAATGTATTTAATAATTAAAAATATATTCCGGTTTATTCTAAAATTATCTTCAGAATCTAAAATAACATACAAGAATTTTAAAATGATATTACATTATGGAACAATATTTTTTAATATACCGGGTTCGTCTCAAAAGTGGCTCACCCTTATAACTTTATTATTTTTTCAGATAAAAAAACAGATTTGTATGTTAGTAGGCATATGACATAAATTAGGATTGATTGACGTATTCAGTTGTTTTTGGTCTCTTCCTGTTTCACCGGAAATGATTACATCTTTTGATTTTTAAAGGCACCCTCGGTATATTGCTACTTTATTCGATAAAAAATGACACTCCGAATAAAATGCGA